AGCAGCTGCCGAGGTGTGCGAGTCCCACATCTGGGGGTGTCCTGTGTCTGTGTGTGTGCTGGATCCGTGTGTGCACGTGTCCTGGGTTTGTGCGTGTCCTGGATCTGCGTGTGTGTGTCCCAGGTCTGTCTGTGTGTCCCAAGTCCCTGTGTGTGTGCGCGTGTGTGTGTCCTGGGTTTGTGCATGTCCTGGATCTCTGTGTGTGTCCCACATCCATGTGTGTGTCCCAGGGCCGTGTGTCACACGGAAGGTCTGTGCAGGGCCAGGGCCATGATGGGTGCCTGGAGCGCAGCACCAGGGTCACGAATCCTGTGGATTCTGTCTGTGTGTTGCTTTGTCAGCACTGACAGCCCAGGTACCTCCCAAGCTCACAGCACCTGCACCCCTGGAAGCTGCTCAGCCCTGGCCAAGGGGTGACAGGGCCACCAGTGTTGTCCCCACCGAGCTCCGGAGCAGCTGGGGCAGCGTTGAGAGTGCAGGGCCACCCAGGCAGGGAGCACAGCCAGGGCCTTGCTGGCACAGAGAGGTGACAGCAGGATGTGCCCCTGTGCCACACCCACAGGGGCCTTGGGCACAGAAGAGCCAGTTAAACACAGGGATGTCTGTGGTGCATGAACTTGGGCTAATGGCGATGGATTAGTCCTAGAACATGGAGATGTGTGCACTGAGAGCAAACCATGGGTGTGAGCCGAGAGCAAAAAGCCCCTGAGGATGCACTGGGGGAAAGAAAAGTGCTAAAAGTATAATCAAATCAAATAAAAACCCTCCCCCAGGCTTCCCCCTGTCCCTGCCCAGGTGGGAGCTGCCCTGCCAGGTGAGGAGAGACAGAGCCAGTACCAGCAGAGAGCAGAGTGCTGAGCAAGCACAAAACACCCCAGCACTGAGGGACTTAGTTTACAAGTTTTTTTAATTTACAAATAAAAAAACCTACACCTTTTACTTTTTCTCCTTTTTCTCTTCTTTCTTGCCATCGCTCTTCTCCTTGTCCTTCTCCTTTTCATCTTTCCTCTCCTTTTTACTTTCTTCCTTTTCCTGTCCTTCCTTCTTCTCTGCATCCCTGTTGGCAATCTTGTTGTTGATGAGGTTGTGCAGGGCTACGACGGAGCGGATGAGTGAGGCCAGGTACACCACCACCATCTGGTCGTTGGTCTTCAGGTAGAAGGCCTTGACAAACTCCTGCAGGTTCACGTCCGGGAGCAGGTTGAACACGTCCTGGAGGTGGTAGATGATCTGGTGGTTGATGGGCAGTTTGCCCATGGCTACTTTCTCTAGGTAGCTCCTGATGTCCAGAAGCTTGGAGTTCAGTCCCTTCAAGCCATGGACCTGGTTTGTGATCCGCTGGGACAGCGTTCCCACCGTGGTGTCCTTGATGTCCCTAGAACCCAGAGAGAATCAGGATTAGAACCTCCCCTTGCATGTGGGCACAGTCCCTTGAGAGCTTTCCAGCTCAGAGTACTGTGAGCACAGCAGAGAGAGGACAGGAATGAACCTCCCAGAACTGTGTTTAACAATCTCCATGTTTTTCCAGCCCCAGGAAGCTGGATGGAGCAGGGCACTACAGTGCAGGGCTCCCTCACACCTCCACACTCACCGTAGCAGATGTTCCACCCCAACTTCCTCAGCCTCCTCTGCTCCAATCTCGCTGGTCACGTGCTCAAAGGTCTTGGAGGTCGGGGTGCCATCCTGCCAGGAGACACATCATTGAACATGGAATTTTAGCCAGAGCACGAGGGATTGTACTAATGAAACCAGCAAAGTAGTTCCAGACAGGCCACAAGGAATCTGAGGAATGGCTCTAGTTGGAGTTTCCTTGATTTCATCAGTGTCACCCACTGTCCCAGCAATTTCTCGTGCTCTGGATAATTTCCAATTACTGCATTTTGCTGGTCTGTGCCTGGGTGGGACAAATGGAAATTCTCACTAAATATCACAATTACTTCTCTCTTCCCTGATCCAACCTCATTGCATTTTGGGGGAGCAGCTTCTGCTCCACAGCAAAGGCCTCAGAAAGGCAAAAAGACCCTATTTTTTTATATACATCCAGAATTAATTTATATTAAACAATTACAGCTGACTCACTGCGGGGTGGTGTTTGTCTGCACAGGGCTGCAAGTGATGAGTTGGTGTTGCTCAAGCCTGACCCACCTCCTCAGCACTGGCAGGTGCAGAATGGGCACACCTGGACACACCTGAGCACACATGCAGGCAAACAACACCTACAAGTGACATCCTAAAAGTGCTCCCATCTGTGACTCTCTTATTTTACATGGTAAATACTCACATCATGAACTTCTTCCACAGAGATATAGGCTTCTGTGGGCAGCCCCAGGTCCTTTGGCTTCACGTCAATGATCACCAGCACCTGAGGGAGAGAGCAAATGCTTTGGAAAAACGGATTTCAGTCAAAGAGTAGAGAAAAAATACCCGAGTCAGCACTTCCCTCCTCAGCACTGGCATGGGGCTGCTCACTTGGGCACCGAGACAAGACTTTGAGTCCAAAGACTCTTGATCCCACTTCCACAATCACTTCACAGCCACCATGTTGTGTCACCACAAGGGTGGGGGGAAAGGGTTCCCAGATGCCCCTTTTAGGGTAAGAGAAAAACAACCCCAAAGCAGGTCCCACTTACAGAGTTGGGGCAGTATCTCTTCATCAGTTCATTGATGGCGATGTCATTCTTGTGCAGTTTCGGGCCTGTGTGGTACCACCCCACAATTCTTTCTCTAGCTGAGCAAAAGCAGAAAAGGATTAAAAATCAGAACTGTGGGGAGACCCCAGCAGAGAGATTTGGATCAGCAAATCGAGGGTGAAAGTCTGATCTGTGTAAAGAGGGGGAAATTAATTACAAGGCACTGGCTTGGCCAGAGACCAAGAGCTCCCCAATTGCACTCACTGCCCACACCTATAACTTCACTCTAGGCTCCTGAACTCAGCTGGATATTTAACTTTATTAATTAATATTATTGATTTTATACCTATCAGGATCTGACAGCTTGGACTTCTGAGATGCAAGCCCCCATCCCTGGAAGTGTTCAAAAACATGTGGATGTGGCACTTGGGGACATGGTTTAGTGATGAACACGGTGCTGGTGCTGGGCTGGCGGTTGGACTGGGTGATCTTAATGACTCTGTGATTTTATGATCAATATGAATTCACTTTTCCATAGTCCCAAAAGTTTTTTGGAGCATATCCCAGACTGCCAGAAGAGCTCAACTCACCATTAACCTTCTTAAACATTCCATACATGTTCTCCAGATAGTCGTGGTCTAGGAACCAAACAGTATCATCCTTGTCATCCTCATCAAAAGGTACTGGGAATAAAACAAAACATCAGGATTTAAGAATCCGACTTCCAGAATGAATGTGTTTATTGAAATGTCGTGTTTTGGTTATTTTTGGCTGCCAGAAGAGAGCGGGATTTAATTGGGAGTGGTTTTGAAAGCCGTTTGTATTTGTTGTTGGATATGGGCTGATTTGTAGAGGGAGGAAACAATCTGTGCTCTGCCAGGGTGGCTCAAAAACTCCAACACAATCTACCTGCGAAAGAATTCAGTGGGTTTGGGAGGGGCAGGACGCCCAGACTCACCTGCAAAACTGTTGGACACATCCAGGATCTTTTTCTGCCATGATCCCAGCAGCACCCCGACCACTCGCTTCTGGTTTCCCACTTTTCCTATTCTAAATGGACAAAAGACTGTCAGTCCCTACCTCAAAAAGGCGAAGGAAGGAACGGGGCCTCGTGTGCGCAGGGTAAACAGCGAGTGTTGGGAGAGAAGGTGTTGTGGTTGTTTTACTGATGGTGTTTTGCAGACAGAAGAAGGAGTTTCGGTGCCCTCGGAACCGAACCCGGTCCCCCGGGGAGGGGAGGAGGGTCCGATGTCACTAACGGGGGTCGTGACCCCACACGGGGCTGTGAACAGCGACCGGCTCCTCATCCCGTGTCACTCTCACATCGCGGCTCGGCCACCGCCGGAGATTTGGGGCTTTTTTTCTGACATTAAAACCGCTCGGCACCGGCGCGAGGGAACGGAATTAGGCCCGAATTAGCCGGGGAGTCGGAGGCACCGGGTCTCCTCAGGGCCCTGGGTCCCTCCCGCTCCCCCGGCTCCCCTCCCGGCCCGGGATAGCCTTGGTTCGCCCGGCCCGGGGACCCCGACAGCCCTGTGTCCCCACATGCTCCCCCGGGTCCCCTCATGGTCCCGGGTCCCCTCACGGTCCTGCTCTCCCCGCTCCCCTCCCGGCCCGGCCGTGACTCAGCGCCGGGGCACCGCTCCCGCCCGGCAGCACCTGTTGAAGTGATCGACGACGCTGAGCAGCACCAGCGGGTGCACGACCACCCTGTCCACGGCCAGTTCCGGCATGGCTCCCGCTCCGCCGGCCCCGCTCGGCCCAACCCCGCACCAGGCCCGACCGCAACCCCGCGCCTTCAGCCCGCCCCCCGCGCCCAGCCTGCCCCGCGCGGGGCGGGGCCGCCATCTTGGGGAGGGCTCTGGGCCCGCCGCCATCTTGGGAAGGTGTGCTCGCCATCTTGGGAAGGTGCGCTCGCCATCTTGAGAGGGTACCGCCGCCATCTTGAGAAGGTGCGCTCGCCATCTTGGGAAGGCTCTGCCGCCATCTTGGGGCAGCGCCGTGGCCCCGCCCCGAGGTGAGGGAAAGGGCGGGAAGGGGGCGGCCCTGGGCTGAGGGCTCCGGCCGCGCGCTGGGATTCCTTCCCCTCCATTCCCCTTTCCCTTTTTCCTTTTCTCCCCGTTTGTTCCCCCCCCCTTTTTCTCTCCCTTTCATATCCCTTTCCTCCCCCTTCCCTCCACCTTCCGCCCTTCTTTCTCCTTCTTTTCCTTTCCCTCCCTCCCGTTTTCCTCTTTTCCCCTACTTTTTTCCTCCCTTTTTTCCCCTTTCCTCCCCCTCTTCCTCTTCCCCCCTCTTCCTTTTCCCCCTTATCTCCCCCGTTCCCCTTCTCCCTCCTTTCCTCCCACTTTTTCTCCCATATTTCCACCCTTTCCCCCTCCCATTTCCTCCCCTTTCCCCCTTTCCTCCCTCTCCCCTCCCCTCCCCTCCCCTGAGTGGCCCCAGAGTCCCCCCAGGACGGTGTTTTTGGGGCTCTCAGCCTTCCCCAGCCCGCTCGGCTCCTCCTGTGGAACTTTAGGATGCTTTTGCCTTTCCCAGGTGTAAGAGTCTCCATGACCTCTCAGAAAGTGAGGAATCCCTCAGGATGATGCTGTGGCAATCCCAGCCCTGCCACACAACAGCGGGGCCCAAAAGCCATTTGCTCCCCTGACAGAGAGAAAACTGCCAATTCCAGGTTTAATCCTCCCCTTCCAGGTGTGCTCCTGCCCCTGCGACCCGGCCTGGAAAAGCTCCATCACCTCCTGCCCCTCGTCCCAGAGCCTCAGAGACGTCAGGGACCCCGGTGCCTCAGCGATAAAAGGCCACGAAAATAGGTAGAAATCTTTATAAGTGTTTGGTTTCTTCCCAGGGGTCCGTGTCAGGCAAAGCTGTCATCCCTCAGCCTCTCGGAGTTTGTGAGGGTTTCTCCTCCCAAGTTTCCTCCGTGTAAAGGAGACACAGGCTCAGGTGAGACTTTGGAGAAGGATTTTTGCACCTCAAGAGCAGAAGCTGACACAGAACTTGTCTTTTATACTTTTATTTCTTGCAAGAAAATACTACCTGGGGCTGTTACTCTCGAATCTACATGGAGGAATTATTAATATGAAAAATATTATCAAAGTTGTTGACGATAATTCACAGTTTTAAAGCATTGATACCTCTTGTTTCCTACACTTTCCCCACATTTTTTGCATATTTCTATATATAGGTAATATTTTGGTATTTCGAAATACCAAATGGTATTTTGGGCGAAATTGAAAGTTTTGTGGTTTTGTTCAGCATCTTAAAACTTCACAGATTTAGGCAAAAGCAGCATTAATTTACAAGCCCTGCAGCATCTGAGACCTCTTGTGGAGTTTTCAGTCGTTACATCCTTTACTGTTGCTGCTTTAAAAAGAAAGAATCTCTGGTGGAGTTTCCAGAGGTTTTTTTTTTCCCAGCAGAGGGGGATATCTGACCGTGGGATTCGAACACCCCCAGTGCTCTTGTCGCTTGTTTTATCAATATACATATAAAACTCAATGTTCAAATTAACTAGTTCAATAAGTAATTTAGCTCATTGATTTTCGGGCATATCCTAAGTGCCATTACAAGCTACGGATATTTTAAATGCCATTACCTAATAGAAGGAATGTTTTAAGCACCTTTTATTGATTTTATTACTGCTTTATTTTGCTGTCTTGGTTTAAAAAATCATTTTAACCGCTCTGTCATCGAGAAGAAATATATCGTTGGTGAAATACAGTCAATTTCCTAAAAACCTTTGACATCGTTAAATAAGGGATTACAGTTGTTAAATCATGTCGGGCAGTGCTGGAGGGACAACGAGGGATGAGCTGGGGCCGGTGGGCAGGGCTGTGCTGACCTCTGCCACCCCTGCTCCGTGTGGGACAGTCCCGCTCCAGGGCTGCTCCGGGCTCCTCCAGCACTCACAGCGTGCCAGGAGGGCGTGGGAGGATCCCACAGCACAACCCAGAGACAATTACGGGGCATTTTAGTGACCTGCTGTGGCTTTTCGTTGAAATTAACTCCCTAACTTGGCGCGTTTGAAGTTTGATTTGCTGGATTGTGTTGCTGGGAGTTGGGTGTATTGATGTTGTGCACAAAAGGAGTAAATTGAGGCAGCTCCCAGGGATTTCAGTCCCTTCCCAGATCTGAGCAGATTATCAGAATTATTGAGCTAATCAGCTGGCAGATGCAGGCTGGGGATCCCGGCAATGCGGCGCTTAATCAAAGAATTGAAAAGTAAGTAATGAATGTTGGTGCTCAATAAAAGGCAGCTAATGAGGTGATTGAGCTGTGGAGTGGCAAACATCAATACTGAGGGATGATCCAGCTCCAGAGTGCTGAGCTGGAACCCAGAGCTGAGAGGTTCTGCCCTACACGAGCACCGGCACCTCACCTGGTGTGGGCAGGGAGGGAGGGAGCTGCATTTTGCTCTTTAAGTGGAACAAGTGATTCCATCAGTAATTCTTGGGCTTTAATTTTATTAAAAAACCCCCAACCAATACCCCCAACACAACCCCCAAACTTACACAGAACTGTTTTCAGAGGTTTAAGAATGGTTTCCAAATTGAAAAATAAGAATAAATCATGATAAAGTAGTTTAAAAATCAAATTAATCATTATAAGTGTTAAATCAGCCTCTAAGTGCCTTGATAAGCCCCAGGGGGAGTGGGGAGGGGGCTGTGGCTGTGTCTATGTCCTGGTCAGGGGGTACCAGGAATGCACTGCAAAAGGAGGTTTGTTTGCACCAAGTGAACACGAGGAACCTGAAACTTTCTTTGGAATCCACTTTTGCCCTGATTCTCTTCCTTGGTTAGGTGCTGTAGACTCTCCTCAAGTGCCAGGTTGTTCTGACTGGTGACACAGGGGGCACCTTTGTGTTCTTTCCAGTGATGAGAGTTAGAAAAAGATCCAGGGGAATAATCCGTGCAGCTGGGAAATATTGATATGTGATACTTTGGATCCTAATCCTAAATTACGCTTATTAATGTGCTCCTTTAATACTGGTTGGTTTTGTTTTTCAGGAAAAACCTTACTTAATTTTTCCTAGATTGGGACTGAACACTTAGACACCCTAACGTGTATTTTTCTTGAGGTGCCTTCTAAAGTGTGTTTAAATCCATCAGGAGAAGCTGGGCTTTCTCCAGACCTGTTGATAGTTTGGCACATAATACCTTTGTGCTCCCAGTTTGAACAGGAAATATATTTATTTCCCTATAAATATGTTTAGCTTTGTCCAAATAACTGTAGCTTCCTGTTAAGATTTCCTTGTCCAAGGTGTGCCATAAACTAGTTTAGAAGGAACGGTGCTGCCTGGAATTGAGCAAGGATAATGCAAGCCATGGAAGCAAAACAGAAAGCCACTATCACATTAATTGTGATTTATTTTGGTTAAAGTGTCATTCAGTGACATGCTGACACTGTCAGTACATGATGGCCTGAGCCAAACTGCAGTTTCCTTCTGAACACCTCCAAATAACCATTATTTACCCCAAATATCTGTTCTAGAATGTCATTTTTAAAGCAAATTATTAAATCTGTCATTATAAATAGATCTATTTGCTTGCTGATATAAGCTTTACATATTTGTGTAGTAATAATTTATTTCTTTGTTTCCTTATAGAGTGCTGTTGCTTGACCAAAGCTCTGTGTGCGTGTGTGTGTATGTATATATATAAAAAATTAAATATATGTGTGTAAAGTAGAACTCATGTTACTGACCACAACTGGTCCATCTGTGAATATTGCTGTAGTTTCTGCCAAGGGATTTAAGGCCTTTTGTACCTGTAACAGGTGACTGGGATAATCCTGCCCTTTCTCTAACAGTGGAATTTTGATAACTTTGGATGTCAAATCATCAATTTCTTTAGTTAAAAGCTGGAAGTATTGTCAACATGTCATATCAAACTATGGAAAGTATTTCATGTTTTATATTCTATGCATCTGATTTTGTTGCCCTGTCCAGACATCACAGGGCATAGAAACACCAGAAATAAGGGGTTTTAATAACTAAGTCCCGACTCTAATTTTCTATTTCAATACAGAGTGATTTCCTTATGTTATTCTGGTCCCTTCGCTACAAAATGATTAAAAAAAAAAATGGTGGAAACAAACAGTTAAAAAAAGCAAGCACAACAGGTTCTAGTCATAGTCATTTTTCCACACCTTGAGGACTAGCAAATTCTTTAATATGAGATTTTATTTGTACAAAGCAAAACTTCAAACCCACTCCAAAGCTTTCTTATTAAGTGCTGTCAGTGCGGTGATTTACAGGGGCAATAAAGATCTGGAGGGGGCACATTCATCACGGGGTTCAGCGCACCAGGAGCCATTTTCTGCAGCGCTAAAGCCAAGTGATAAAATGAATTCTTTTGTTCTATAACCAAGACACATTCCCTGGGTTTTGTTTTTTTGTTTTTTTGTTTTTTTTTTTTTTTTATATGTGTGTTGGACTCCTTGGCTTGTACCTTGGCCATGTTCCTGTAACGCATTTATAAATAATGAAAAATTGCTCTCATGCAGATGTGATGATGCATCTGGCAAACCCCACTGTCTGAAAGACAGGAACTTGCTTCTACTTTGGCTTATTCACTAAGTTTTCTCCAGTGTTGATTCTTGTAGGAGTTTTTAACAGCACTTTCCAAACTAGATGGTTTGAGTGGTTTTGTTTGGTGTGGTGTTCTTTTTTTATTATTTTTTTAAGGTGATTCTATACCTCTCTGCAAAGCTGAAAGAGTTCTGGTTAGGAAGTAATAAAATGTATTTAAAATAAAGAGCCATGCTCATGGAGCACAGTGTGATTTGGAAAACTTCCCTTGCTTCCTCTGTTTCTAAACTCGTGTTTGAGTGACTTTGGGGGGGCTGCTCTGTAACGTGTGTGGAGAGAAAAGTTGGGCTTCTTGTCCGGAGCCAGATGTTGCTGTTTGTGTGGGCACTGCCCAGCCCTGCTGGGGGAGGAACTATTGGCCAGAGTCGGTGTCTCTGCGTGTGAGCAACGGGCTCAAATCCCACTGCACAGTGAGAATGAAAAAAGGGAATTCTGTTTTTTTCCCTATAAAAATGCCGCCACCTACGGGCTATGCCTGGAAGTTCTGGGAAGCCCTGTCACACTCAGCTGCGTTGGGGTTTGGCACGGGCACCTCCGAGACAGAAGTAGGAGAACCACGTTGCAAAAAGTGCTTTCCAGTATAATTCTGATTATCTTTAATTGTGAATGTAAACCTGTGTGAAGTTTTGGCAACGTTTTGGTTTCAGTGGGGCTGCTGCCATAACCTGTGCCATGGGCAGGGACACCTTCCACTAGACCAGGTTACTCCAAGCCCCATCTAACCTGACCTTGGGCACTTCCAGGGATCTTGCCAAACCTGTTTATTGATCTTGGGTAAATGCTCTTCCAGCTGTCCAGGGTGTGTGGGATGACCAGCTTTGCACTCATTGTGTCTACATTCAATAGTGTGGAAGTAGGACTGGTGCTACTGCCCCCCAGCCCTCGTGCCTGGGAAAGGGTGGGACTGAGAAATCGCAGAGTTTGTTTGGCTGACTCGGAGCAGTTACTTAGCCAGAGGGAAGCTCTGCTGCAACAGCCACAAACTCCCACCACAGCTCCTGTACTGGCTGCTGGAAAACTAGAGCTTCAGTTGACCCAAAAAAGGGATTTTGCAGATCTCTTTGCTGTAATTTTATGTTGGCACTTGAAATTTAGCAAGAAAAGCTGTGGTCTAGGAGGCTTTTTGCAGAGCTGTGTATGTTACTGCTGATACTTTTATTGCAAAACCTTTAGTCTCTGATATTTAAGGTCAGAAACTGTAAGAGTGTGTGTGTGCTATTCTTTTTTAACCCTGGGGCCTCTTATACTGTAGTGTCATGAAAGATCCTAAAGCTTTGAGGGAAAAAAAAATGGAAATACTTCATTTTATGAAGCAGTTTTGGGGTCAGTTTTTCTGAAATGAATGCTTTTATGTTGGATAGTTTAAAGCCCATCTGTTAACTGAAACCAAGCCTAAGTGAAGTTGCAGTTGTGTTTCCTATTAGTCTTGTATCTTTCCTATTAGTCATGTATGAAAGAATACAGAGCCATCCAGCAGAATTCCAAACAAAAATGGAAAAAGCAGATGGTGAAACTGTGGCCTTGTTGCTTTTCTTTTACAGGAGCAAGTAATTATTAATGGATCACAAAAATACTGTAAGAGTAGTTCTGTAAAGTGTTACCAGAGTCCCCGCTCAAGGTGTCCCTCTGATCATTGCATATTGCAGGTGAAAATTGGCTTATTTCACTCGGAGACACTGAAGAGGGTTTGAAAAATAGATCATGGATGTTATGTCTGGAAGCCTACAGTGAAAGATAAAATACACAATTTTAAATAGTTAAGCACTGCAAGTCTCTCAGGGCTCATTTATTATGTTGTCATGGTGAGCAAGGAATAAAAAAATAAAATAAAAAGGCTGTTCCTTGGGTAGTTGGTACTTAGGGGCAGTTTTCTTTTACAAGAGTTCCACGCTGGCTTAAAGAAAGATCTTGGAGAAAAAGAACAAACTTTATTTTTCAAATAAATTCAGCTAAGAACTCACAGCCTTCCGTGACACTGCACTGAATTATTATTAGTGTACACTGCTGGGAGAGTAACACTCACTGCTGTTTAACAACAGTGTCCTTCCATGGAATTTCAGAGAGGCAGTGGGAAAAGGAAAGGCAGAGTTGAGTGCTGCAGCAGAAGGAGACCTGTCCAGTTGGAGCCGGGCTCCTGTATCAGGGCTTTGGGGAGGGACACGGAACACATTCTGTGCATGCAGGTCCACGTGAATTGGTTGTGAAATTCTTAATGTGTGTGTGAAGCAGGAGGTCCTCTCTTCCCTGAGTAACATTTCCTTAGGTGCATTTCTTCCAGACTTTCTCTCTTCCATTCTTACCTTGCAGCCAAATATGGGGAATGTATGAAGCTGTGTTTGTGCAAAGCTCTATTTGTCATGGACAGGAGATGTTAATTTTTTTCCTGACTTCTGTCCTAATGGAAGGTCATGAGTTGCACTTGGTATATTATGACTTTAAAATAGTTGGCAATTGTGTCCAGGCTGTCCCAGCAAGGTTCCCTGACTGTGAAAAGTGGTGTTCTAGCTCATTCATTCTCAGATTCCAGTGATAGTCCCTTTAATTTCCCTTTGCTCCTGTTGGATTCTAGAAAAGGTTAATTAGTTATCCACTGAGCTTGATAAAAAATGATTTTTTTTTTTAGAATATAGTATTAAAAGATGTTCTATTGGGGTATGAAGGTAACACCACAAGGGGGTACTATAATTTTATCAAATTTGCCTTGGTAACTTGTTTTATTAAGGTAAAATGATTACAGCCTGCAGAGTTAATTTTAATATGCTAATACACCACAGCAAGTTGGAAACTTAAATAAAATGATACAATTAATTTAAATTTAGAGAAGGTAGAGAAGCTTAGGAAGGTCACCTGTATGTTACACTGAGATTGCATATAGGCTTGGCAGATGTAAAGTGGGTTTCCCAGCGCAGGCTCCAGGAGATCCCAGGGTGTTCTGCACTGACCTTTGTGGGAGAATGTTAATACAGCTCTGCAAAAACTGCCTTCTCTGAAAAGTGTTTTCATGTGAGAAAAAGGAACCCTTTCCTCTCTCAGCTTAGATGTGTGTGTGGGTTAATGGTTTTAACACCTGTATGGAGGTGGATGTTTATTAGGACTTTTTTTTTTTTTAAATGGAAAAATGCATCCTCTGGCATTCCTCTGTTAGTGGAGTAATTACTCTTGATTAAAATACATTGCTATGACTCTGGGTGAGGGAAGGGGGGTGGGTGTTAGATCTCCAGGGCTGCCACGGGGAACAGGAGAAGGAGGGGGCAGAGCTGCTACCAGTGGTCCCTGTTGTCTTTAGAGGTTTGGATGAGCTCCAGAGAGCCAAGCTAGAAAACAGGGAAGAAATAATGTGTCAATAGAACACATGAGCTAAGTATTTTCTCCTAATTTCTACAGAAGAGAATGAACTTGTCATTGCTGTGACCCTGTAGAGTGAGTTTTACTCTCATTAGGAGGTTCCCGAGATCACTGTTTCCCCCAGGATATGGAAAACCAGATTGCACGTCAACAGACCAGTCAAGAGGCTGATTTGCCAGGGACACTAATTGGGAATGATGTAATTACAGGGGATTTTCCAAATGCTTTTCAAGATGTTTTCAGTGGCTGTTTGCAGTGTGTTACTGAAATCCTCTCATAACATTGGTGTGTATTGGAGAACTTTGTCTCCAGTGCCCACAAAGTGGCCCAGTCAGGACGTGGTCATTCCTTGGCTTTGGGTGCAAGATGCACCCAAGGAGCATCATCAGGACATCATTAATTAAGAACTGTAACCTCAGTGTTCTGTATCTTCCCCACTAAGACCAGGAGGCTGGATTTATGGACATTTGAGTGCCAACAAAAGGCTTTCATTTCCCTGGGTCTGAGCTTTGTCCTGCTTAGGAAAGCTGCAGGTAAAATATGGCAAAACTGGGAGTTCTGGTGAGAATGTTTAGTCACGAAACCTCACAGGTAACTTTTTTCCAAGAAAAAACCAAATGAGTGCATTCTAGATTTGTACAACAAATTATTGGTATTGAATTATCAAATTATATGCACAATTAAATTTTTATTAAATAAGGAATAGCATATGCAATATTATGCTAATCTTGTGCAGTATAACAAGTTTGTAAGTTTAACACACTGTGCGCTGAGCCTCTCCTCCCCAGGGACTCGTTTGAGACGTAGGGCATTCAGCAATTGAAAAGGAAATTAGAAAATGAGTCACTTGAGTAATTTAAACATGCAAATAAGTGTCCCAACTGTGGTGATACTAGATTTAGCTGAATTTACTCGGGCTGCTTTGACTTTATCACCCTAATTATTCCAGCTTTGTGTCAGGCTTAAGAAAGCAGGAAGCCAGAATTCTCTGTTACAGGAGTTTCTCGTGGTGCTGTGTTATTGCACTGTGTGTTCACTAATGCACTCACTGGGAAAAACTTATTCCAAGGGTTTTTTCCCTGCTAATTAGCAGAACAAAGGCAATCAGGACTGTTCTATCACCAGAGACTTGAACACACTTGGATTTTATGTGCCAGGCTGAGTGAGGTACAATGCATGTATGTTCTGATAGCAAATGTACTGCACAGCTGAGGGAATTCCTGTGCTGGAACCCCTCAGGAATTCAGTAAAAATTACCTGTTTAGGTAATGATTTTTTTTTCTGAGAGCCATCTCCTTGCGTGGTTTCGATGTTAAAACATAGCTGGCTCCATGAAAATATCAATTATTTTAGAAATCTTATCTACAAGCAACTAGTTGCAAGAGGAATGCTGATGGAAATGAGCACGTGACCCAGCTGCACATGCAGGGCTGTTTTCAGGCTCGTGTTAATATTAAAAGAATGTTAATATAAAACATTAAGATAAGAAACCAGAGTCCAGTCTCCACCTTCATGAAGCCCAGGAGCTCCTGCTGAGCTTTGCAAGTACAGAAGTTCTGTGATTAAATTGATTTAGCCCTTATTATTGGCATTTGGGTGACTATTCTGAGGATGTAAGATTTATTTTTTTTTTAAAGGTATCTTGGTGATAAATGCTGAGAGTCTAACAGACATTTCTTCTTAGTTTTTGGTGTAACTCTTTAAATTTTTTCCCTCAGGAAGTGCACAGAACAACACCATTTTTCACATGAATAAATGGAAATAATCTTTGCAGCCATGGATGCTTCTTAATATTACTTGAAAGTAAAGTCTCACACAAGGCTTCTAGTCTATAAAGAAGGTGAGAAAACAAATAAGAGCAAGTGTTAATTCATGTACACAGAATTTGTGTCTGCACAGCAGGTGAAAATGCTACATTAATGCTGGAAATATCTGTCCTGCTGTGTAGTTTTCCTTCCTTTTTATGACTTCAGTGTTTGGTCTCGTATGAATGCACCGTACTTATTTGCATGTTATCACGACGGATTCCTCTTTGCTTCTAGTTATCCATATAAAGAGAGAGATGCTCCACATGACCTCAAGAAAGTATTCAGATGAAATACTATCTTAAAATATCTCGGGTTTCACAGCACAGTGTATATATACATAAATTTTATTTTTAGTCGAGGTTATTAATTGCACACAAAAATGCCAACTAAGAAGAATGTTGGTAAAGTGTAATGTCAAACACTTCTAATTATGGGAATGTCAGAGGCAGGGGTCAGTCGGAATGTCCACGAGATTAAATAGAGAATTATCTCGGGTGTGTGACTCAAACAGTGAGCACCCGTGTTTGAGGGACCACCAGCTGTGGCCGTGGTCCCACCATGGAGCTCAGTAATGCCTGTGTTCACCAAGGGACCCAAACCTTCCTCTGGGCAGGGACAGGGATGGACAGTCCGTGCTTTTTGGGAGTACCTGCTCAGTGTTCAGTCCTGTCCTTGCTGAAACCTTGAGCTGTATGTCCAAGTGAGCCTGTTTCCAGTAAAAATAGTCTTGCCTTGGTGTCCTGGGAATGCAAGTTCCTCATGAAGTACAAGAGGAACTGAATGTGATCGACGTTGTGCTCTGTGTTTGGGCTGGATGTTTGTCTGCCCCTGTTATTAATGCTTTTTGGGCTGACGTGAGGGGTGCTGGACTAATCTTTAGTGCTCTCCCCCCTCGCATGGCCAAAACCACGGAAGCAAACACGCTCCATGGGCTACACATTCCTGCTGGAGTGGTCAGCGTGAGCGTGACCTCCTGGTGACTGCTCTTCCCAGCGCTGAAGAGCAAGTCATTTGCATGATGTAATTAAAAGGAGCAATTTGTAATGAACCAAGTGGTCGGAGAGATCTCTTGCAAGAGTCAGGGCACGGCACAGCGGCTCAGGGAAGCTGTCGAGCGGCGTTGGCCACGCAGGACGTGTGAGCTGCTGTGTTGGTGCTGGCTTGGGGGAGCCTGTGAGGGCTGGGCTGAGCTCTCCTTGTGGTTCCTGGCCTGCCAGAGGCAGAGCTGTGCCAAAGCCCTGCTGAAATCTGCTGACTGCACCGTGGGAGGGCATCCTTGTAGTCTCCGTGTCTATGTCTTCATCTTCCTTGTTGTGTTTTCAGCAGTTTGTAAAAGTTCATCCTTCAGGTCTTAATACACAATGAAACATTTAATCATTTAAAGTTCATGTTAGGTCTGAAAATGAAAGTAGTCTGTATCCTCCAGAGAAATCTCAGTGACTCCAGACAATATCAATACTAGCTTTTTAAAGCCAGGCTGGCTCTTGGCTGCCCAGGTGACCCTGGGGCATCCCTGCAGCTCTGAGTCAGTGAGGAGACTTCAGTTCCTCTCCAGGTTCTTTCTGGAGCTTTCATTGGGTAGCAAAAATGTCACTCAAAGCCCTTGTTGTTTAGTGAAGTTGTTGCTCTTCAAAGAATGAGTCAGATGAGGTAGCTGTCAAAATATGTGCTTGGTCCTCTTCTGACCTAAAAAGTCTATTTTTTGGTCCCTGATGTCATGAGGCCAAACTTTCTCTCCTCACTGACTTTAGGAAGACAACTGTGATGGTGATACTACGTTGGATGTGTTGGGAACTACGTAATTAGTGTCTGAAATCAGCACGTAATAGCTCGTCTTCATAAATTTATTTTCCCCTCTGGAAAAAAGCGTTGATATTTTAAGCATTTTAACTGTTCCTGCTTATGTTTTTGCTTCCTTTTATGACATAAAAATTCAGTTTTGTTCATTTTGAGCCTGACTGGAAGGGGAAGTTTGTTTATTTTGGCAGCTTAGTTGTAGATACGCCAAGAGGAAAATGAAAAACCGTAGCCTGTGGGCATTCTGTGTGTGCTTATCTCCATCCTGCTGGAGGAGGGATAACTGTCTCCTTCGTAGGAAAGGAAAGCAGTTTGAGGAGAAGCCTCACTTATTTGTATTTTCTCTTTTTGTTTGTTTTTTACTGTAGCAATTCTGCACCACGTCTCTTGGCAGTCCTCGGTGGCACAGACACACCCACAGCTCAGGGTATGTTCTTAAGTACTTTTGTCCAACAGAAGTTTAAACTGATGTATTAAATATTTGTTTTTTCTTCTTCTAATGTTTGGATAATAATTTGAGACTGTATATCTTTGAGTACTAATCTAAGAGTGAATCAGAAAACAATAATAATTCCTGTAGACTCCTTTTTTCGTGTTTTAATTCGGCCAAGGGCACACATTCCAACAGCCCGGGCACAGCCGCTGGTACCCTCAGGACTGTGCTCTCACCACAGCCAGGGACAGGCGTTGTCAGGTTGTCCTGCTGTGATCCCAAACACCTCCCAGACTCCACTGGTCCCGTCAGTTTCCAGCCAGGACACGTGGAGGATGCAGAGGGAGCCTCTCTGCCACCCCTGATGCTGTGAGACCCCTCAGCTGCAGCCTCCTCTGCACCCGCCTGCCCTGCAGTGACACGGGGCCAGCAGAGCTTGGTCTTGGCAGGTAAGTTAGGGACAGCTAATTCCTGCTCTCATGGGATCTGTGACATCTGGATGGGAGGTACCAGACAGCTTTATATTACAAATCCCAGGATGCTTGCTCCATTTGCTTTTGCATTATCATCTACTTAACTTGAAACATGTGAAAGATTCATAGTTAGGAACTTTCCACCAAGTTTTATCGCTTTACTTTGTGTGCTGTTTACCACTTGGATATATGGGAATTTTTTCTTAGAAGGGATGATAGACATGTAAAATCCTAATTTTTAGGAGTCGGTACAGGTTCAACTACTAGTCCTTTTAAAAAAAGAGATTCTAGTGAGGCAGAGAGAACAAACTAGGTTGAAAAAGTGAGGGACCGGGGTGCTTTCTGGTAGCTGTTTTAAAGCTTCTTGCTCAAAGGCATCTCCCCTGTCCTCGGAGGACTTGGGTACTGGTTTGATGTCAGTTCTTTCACAAATAAACTCTTTCTGTTGTTCTAATCATACACGTACGCTGCTAATAAAATTCTTCCTTGGGGTATCTGGGAGGAAAACCGTATTCCTTTGTTTGGGCCGGCCAGCGGCTGCAGCACTGGTAGATTAGCAGATGAGAAGCTTATTCCAGAGAAACAGCTTTTTCTGGAAAATTACTTTGACAGAAACCTCTCATTCCTGTGACCAGAATTCACAGGCTTTCGAAGTAATTAGGGGGACTTCAGTAACAAATAAAATACATACAGCAAATCCAACAGGAGACTCGACCATTGCTCTGCAGCCTTCCCTGGCTGTGGGTCCCTCCTGCCCCTAGGGGAGTGGGGTAAATGAAGGGGAAGAGGAGTCACTGCTGGTGCTGAGCAGCCTTTAGTGCTGGGAAAACAAACTCATCCCTCTCTTTTTATGCGGAGCTCTCTTTCTTGGAAGCAGGAATGCGGAGGTGTGGTGGGACAGCAGGCACCAGGCTGGAGCTGTGTGGTTTAACATGTGTCAGTTCCTAAGGATCAGTGCAAGGGGCATTCTGGAGACTGGGTACTATGGTATGGAATGCCACTGGAGTGCTGCACCATCACGTGTAGTCCATCCCTGTGGTTGGCACCTGGTGTGTCCCACTGTGGGGCAGACAGGACTGCACAATTCCCCAGCTCCAGAAAGGGAAGAAAGCATTTGCATTTTCTTGATATGTCTTTAAATCATTAAAAAGTCTTTGGGGGTGGGAAGGGGAAGGGAAAAGTCTCTCTGGAGAAGTGATGCTTTTGATGGTCTTTGCTCTGTGGCTGGTACCCAGCACTGAGCATCACCCCCCTTCTTTTGTGCTAATAACAAACCCACATTGTGGGGTTAAGGCTGCTTTGCTACTGTACATGTGGGCCCGAGGCAACACCTTCCCTCTGAGTCAGGATTTTCCACTCCCTAATGTGTGGAGGTGACGAAGACTGAGGGTGTGCTGGGATTCTGTGCCAGCTTGGGCAGCCCAAGCTGAGGGAAAAACAGTTTTTCTGGATCTTACTTGGGACTGACCCTAATTACATTTCCTTGTGCTGTCAAAGCGGGTTTCTCTCCCTCCTGCCTCCAATCCTATGGCAACAGGAATCACAGGTCACCATTAAACAGAAGCAAAATCTGAGGTGTTTGAGCCACATGTGCTGTGGCAACAGCTGCATGGAGTGGGAGTTTCCGCATGTGTGCTTTCCTGTAAAAGTTTGGGAAAAATGATGACTCCCAGTGCAGAATTCCTGTGTCAGCCTGGCACCATGGATCATTGGCATTGGGCCGGTGACAGGCAGGGGGAGGTGAGGTGGCGTGGGCACATTGTGTGGATGTGCCACTGGAGCATCGCCATCCTGATGCTGGAGCCTGCCAGATGCCAGGCCTGTGGGCAGGTGGGGGGGGGGATGGTACCAGCACACAGCAGGTGCCCCCCCCCCGGCCTCATCCAGGCAGGAATGTGCCCAGCAGATTTCCCCCAAAGGAAACATGAGGAAAACATCTTGTTTTAGAGAGATATTTAATATGTTTTTCATATTTGGAAAGCAGTTAATGTCTGGGAATGTCCTTTTGCTCCCTGGCCAGCATGATTAATATTACTTTTGATCTTTTTTTTTGAAAAAAAAATCAGCGTAAAAGTGATTTATCTGCAAGGAAAGCAACAGCAATTATTTACTCTGTATTCATGGTTAAAGTTGGTTTCTTTTAAAAACTGTTTTGGGGAGGGTAAAAGTTCTTAAAAATAAACATGGTTTGAATTATTTTTAGATTAAAATACTTTATGGAAGGAGAGCTGAGTTTTAGTGTTTGAGCAGTAAACCAGGTAGTCAAGACTTTGGGGAAAGCACAGATGTAGAAAGGTTTGCAGAAAGTAGTGCTTTCAACTACCTGGAGCTAATTGCACGGAATGGCTGATGAGGATGTTAATGAGAACGCTCCTGGGTCGTGCCCCGTTGGTTGTGCCCAGGTGGGCTGGTTTTGTTGCCTTGCTGTGCTGCCAGCCCTGTGCTGGGGCCCGGCTGTCCATGGGCTGTGCTGTGCTGTGGGGGATGTGCCAGCTGGTGGGCACAGGGATTAGGATATGGGACATCACCGGAGCAGGGTGGGATGCTCCCAGAGGTCGCATGTGGGAAAGCGTCACCCACTCAGCTGGTCCTGTAAAGCATTGGTGAAAGGTTCCCTCGGCAGTGCACCATCAGGGAGTTGGTACAGGATTATAATCAATGTGCAGATAACTCAGGATGTGTTTGGAAAACTGCATCAGAGTTATTGTTCAAGCTTTTTTGCCTGTAAAGCTGAAAGCCGGGTCTCAGTGCTGCAGTCTGGCTGGGAACCACGGAACCGCGGAACAGCTCAGGGTCACGGGATGGAGTTCGTGGTGTTTTAATACTTATTATTTTATCTTGGTCCCTTCCAGAGCCAGCAACAGATGGGTTACCCTGGAGCCAGGGATGGTCCCTCTTTGCAAACCCAGGTCCACTCTAGCACTGAAACGAAGTGGCTCTTGGGGCTGAGCACCACTTGCCCGGTGCATCTGGCTGGGATGCTGCTCGTGCCTTGCTGTGCTAGAGGGGGAGGAGAAAAGCCTGCTTTGGTCGTTCATTTTTTTCAGTGTAAGTGTTTAAAGCTTGAGTTATCTTTGGGAGATGCAGTAACTGGTGATCCATCCATAACCCCTGTGAGGGGTTTGGGACACACAAGTGAGAACGGCAAGTGTGGGAGGATGGAAGCACAGCCATTGTCACAGATCCCTCATGGACAGAGAGGACACGAGCTTTACAGCCAATGAGGTTCTGGCCCAAGTTTGTCACAGGTTTTGTATTAATTTTGTGCTTATTTTTCCACATTTCGCTTTTCATAGCTTTTTTTTAGAGAATAGGTGAGTTTCTTTCTTTGATATTGTTATAGTTTTATCTTTTATTTTACAACTAAAAAAGAGAGAGCCCAGAGGTGTCTCCTGGGCAGTCAGAGGCAGTGAGGGTCCAGCTGGGCAGTGACAGGGTCCTGTGGAGTGGGATGTGTTGAGTCTGGATCTTTGCTGGTTCTTCTGATCGCTTTCTGCCTCTGGCTATGCCGTGTCTAATTAAGAGTAACATATTAAAAAAACCAGACTAAGCTATTGAACCCATAATGCATGAGTAAGCTAAAAGGATAACCCCAAGTTATTTCTCTGCTTACAGAAAATAGCCCAGAGTTTTTCATTTTGTATTAAGGCTGTTCTGGTGTGACAGCACATTATGTACCACAGACACGATTTTCAAAGAAAACACCATTTATCCTTCTCATTTGATTAAACTCTGGGATGAGTAACAGAGATTTCCTTTTACTTACACATTCCATTAAGGTCCTACAGATGCGATTTGGTTGAAAATATTGCACTGGTCAGATAATTGTGCAAAATCACCCATGTTATTTTCAGCCTTAAAAGCCCAAAGTGAAGTGTGTCCACCCCAGCTGAGACAGAGACACCTGACAGTGGTTCTGCAGGACTCGTGGAGCAAATCCTGTGGAGCAAATTGTGATGGACTTGTTCCCAGTTGGAGCTCTCTGGGCTTCTTCACCTCTGTAGTTACTTGGTAATAGAGAAAATGGTTTGTGCTTTGTATTCCTGTTGATAACCTCACAAAACTTGGCTGCAAAATCCCTTGGGGGGGTGTTGTTCTGGATGCATGAGCTCAGGCTTCACTGAAAGAGTTTATCGTTTCCTCTGCCGTGACTGATGCAATTGGGGCTTTTTGGTCTTATTAGCACTACGTGACGAAGGGATGTGGCCAGAGAAACACATTTACTGAGCTGACTCACTTCTGTGTATTGAGTAGCCCATGACTCACTCGTGCATCCTTCATCTGCAAGTCTGCTCTGTTGAACATCTGATGGTTTTGATTTGTCTCCTTGGAACTGCCTTGGCACAAGGTTATCCAGGATGAGCCTATTGATCAGCAGCTCTTTTGGAGAAAAAAAGTTTCCTTGTTGTGGGTGATGTTGCACAGTGCTCTCCAAACTTGACCTTTAGATTATGGCAGAGATGTTTCCTGGCTGAATCATCTTCACTTTGAGACATCCCCATCACACACCTGATCCCCCTG